ATAATTCTGTATATAAAACATTAATTCAAATTTTGGCACATATCTTAGAAGGGTATATAAAAGCTGTTTTTAATATTCCTGTTTAAAATCACGGAGTTTATATTACATGTAGTATGTATCCGTGTTAAATGCTTATGATATTGATTGGGGTACTTTAAATGTAATAATTAATTTAGTGTTTATAAACATAGTCATATAAATGCAAAAAAATTAAAGATATAATTTAAAAGAATGAAAGTAATTCTCCCATCTTTTTATTACCTCCCTACGGCGTGTTTATATAACTTTCAAGCACCTTCAATGTTTCGCTTCTTTGTGTAACTGGTTAGCATTTTCCGATAGATGCTCTTCTTTATTTAACTGGTCGCAGTTTTCCTTATATATCTATATCGTCAGCTATATAGATCAGCAGTTAGTGCGACGCCCCTTCCATGATCGCACGCGTTTTGTCGGTGGAGTTAGTAAATTCTGACGCAAGCTACCGGTAGATGCCGCACACGACAATGCGATACGAATATTATTCCAAAATTGTCCCGCTTCGCATTGTCGAGTGTCGCTTTAGCGTTGTCGAGTATCGGCTTCGCGTTTTGTCGAGTGTTGCTTCGCATTGTCGAGTTGTCGCTTCGCAATGTTGAGACGTCGCGGAGTGTAAAAATCATAAAAATAACGCGACATTTACTCGACATTTTAAAAATGTGCTTCGCGCTGTCGAGTGTCACTTCGCATTGTCGAGCGTCGTATCGCATTGTCGAGTTGTTCGTTTCGCATTGTCGAGTGTCGTGGTATGCCTTCTACCAACCTCGACACTCGACAATGCGAAGTGAACAATGCGACAACGCGAAGTGACATCGGCGAACAATTACGCGAAGTGACATCGCGACAACGCGAAGCGACGCTCGACAATGCGAAGCGACACTCGACAAACGGCGAAGCGACATTTTCTTAAATGTCGCCCATTTTTTTACCCGCGACATTTCTAGGCGAAGCAGTTGGACATATCGTTTGACACTGTCGAGCGTCGCTTCGCATTGGTGCGGCATATCGCTTCGGCGTTGTCGCGCGTCGCTTCGCATTGTCGCGATGTCACTTCGCATTGTCCGTGTGTCCTACCTTAGACGCGACGGACCGACATTCTAAATGGCACGATAAGGCACCGTAGTTTTAATGAACATCAGAAAAATTATTCTACTAAAGAGAAAGAGTGCCTTGAAAACTCTTATTCTTGCTATTCAGCATTTTGAAGTTTTATACTTACTTCTTCAAAGTTTGCCTGTTGTTTCTTTAGTGATCACAATGCCGCCTCACTTTCTTGCATAAACTTAACAAAAATCTCAAAGGTTGTTGGAGGTGAGACAAACTTGTTTTTGCCAAGAATATAGTCTTGCATAGACAATTAAAGGGAAAGATAATTTGATCCGCTGATGCACTTTCACGTGGTCCAAAACTGTATTTTCAAATATTTTAAATTTAACATTTATTGATATGATTTTTTGTTGTTGTTGTTGTTGTTGTTGTTTGCTATTGTTTATATGACAACATATATATATGAATGTATAAATTGTTTACATTTCTCCTATGTATTCGTAAGTTACATTGTTTGGATTTAATGTAAAAGATATTCATTTCATTCATATTTGCTTTTTCTTGAAGAGGGGAAGTGTTATGTATGCAACATAGTTAATGTAATAATTTATAATCTGACCAGTTGGTATTTCAATATTATCATGTTCTATTTTTAGAACATAAACTACATGTAATGTACTAGAACTTTCTTGACTGTTGTAGAAAACTCAATGCATTAAAATTTAGATAGAAATTTCTGGAATGATCTTTATTGTTGAAGTTGGCTAGATTATGATTTACTGTAGTAAAATGGATAGACTATTCAGAAACTTCTTAGTTAATATATATAAGGAGACACTTTTTCATTAGCTCTATCTTTAAGTCATCAGTTTACCTTTTTAAGTGCATCAGTGGATGTTTTAATGTTCATCAGTTACTTTTTAAGGTCATCAATATATTTGGGAGTATTATTCAAATTGGATATTAAGTGAATTATTGGAGCTTGGGATTTTAAATAAATTATTTCTTGTGGATTTTATTGTGGGGGAAAAAGAAAAAAAAAAAACTTTATTTCCTAAAGTGTTCTTGGATTTAACTTGGATTTAACTGTGCTATTCAAAAAGGATCATTCCAGGATCAGACTAGACATTTAAGATTTCATTTTAATTTGGACTTCAGGTATTTGTAAACATAATTTGTTATTTTGATTTTCTTTATTAATTTCTCTGTAATAAATTTGTTATTGTTACAAGTTTGTTGCTGGCTTTTCTTTCTCGTTACGCCTGGCTCGTAACATTTTGTTAAACTCTGTTACTTTGTTCTGAACCCTAAAAGTCAGATAAAATTTGATGATAAATTGCAGTTTAACATGGTGCTTGTGTTGTTTCATATAAGCAGTTAAAAAGAACCCATCTTTAAAAAACAAATAAAATAATGTGATAAGACTAGAAGAGAAATTTAAGAATTCTGAACGAATGATACTTATTTATGATGTATATTTCACATAAATTGAAGGAATTAAAGTATTGCATGATTAACTGATAGACAAGTGCATACACCAGAACACAATTATAACACTCTTTATGACTGAATCAAATAGGAAATTGAATGTTTTGAAAATAAAAGATGGTGCTTTTTTCAATTGAATTTTCAACATTGTGTCAAATGTTGCATCAAAGTTGAGACTTCAACAGTGTCCAAACTTCCAATTCTGAAAAAATTCAACGTGATTTCAAAGTTTAAGTCCGATCAAATTTCAACGTTGTTATATAGCCTGCTGGGATGTTGCCCTTTCTATTTCCGTATCTGACCGTTACTAGAAGCTAACATGAAATGGTCAGAAATTGCGATTTCTTCTTTCTGTTGTCACTACTGCAAGTGTTTATGTTGACTGTGACGGTGTCCCTGGAATGCAACCACTAGTCTGGTAATCAAATTGAATCTGGTGCATAATAAATCGTTGTATTATTTTAACATCGGAGTATAAAAACTATGCATACGTCAAAATAAAATGTTCTACCCACACAACCCCTGTCACACAAGTCACTCTTGTATCATGGTAAATAAAAGTACAAACATGTTTGCTGAGGAGGCACTTACTTTAATATTTTGTGGATAAATAACACGCATCTTTTTATATTTATTTTGTTTTTGTAAGTGGAAGTTTCCAAGAAATTATATGAAATTTGCTTTCTATACTTAATTTTAAAACATATAAGACCAATGAACAGTAGTATGACAACAAACAAACTCAAAAATCTGGAGAGGAAATTATGATTTGCTTAATAGTTTTGAAATCAGCATTGTTCCGGGTTTAATTCTACGTTCAACATGATCGGTAATGATCAATTGCATTATAATTCATTATAATCGAGCGCTTTAAATGAGTATGGTTGTTAAAACTGATGCACATTGTAAATCAACTATCTTAAAAAAGAAAATTGTGTGCTTTATCCCATAAACACATATCATGAAATGATAAGTTTCTCTATAACTTTAATAATTCGTTACCTATTTTTCTTCCCATTAAAGGTACGGGGAGGTTTAGGGAGTATGTGTCGTTTTGACATTTCTTGTTTCATCAGAACATAAGCATATTTGTAAAAACTAATTAAAACATATAAAAATAAATATAACTAAACACAGTCAATGATGTGTAAAGTTACAAAAACTGATAAACAGAAGTATATCTCACATACTGACATACAGTATCTTTGACATACCAGCGATAGCCTGTTTTGTGTCACAAATACTAGATAATATTTAATTTTGTAATCTATAAACATGTAAAGGTTTTTCACAACAAGCGGCGTGTATAAATTCATGAATTTACAAAATGGTATGAAACATTTATTACATTTATTACTATATTATTATTAAGCGAAAATCATATCGTTGTAATATTATCCTCAAATTGAATCCACATGTATATATTTTAATTAATAGTTATAGGTTTTATTTTGTTTTGAACTCGAAAATGAATCTATTGATAAACCATATCACCCAAGCATTGTATTACATTTGATAGTTATCATTGTGTAACGTGTCACATCATAAACCATGTTTAATGTAACAAACTTCTGTAATCATTAGTTAACAAACAATTATTTGTATTTTTTCTTAATTTCAAAGTGGTCAGCAGATGTCGACAGGCAAAATATTAAACAATCAAGCTGGGATTTTGAAAATTTTAACCAAGCTTATACATAAAACTAAAACAATTAAAGATGGAGATAAAGATTTTTATCTTGGATAGACCGAACCAAAATATGACATTAACTTCATAACTAACGATAAAAAATTCACAAATTTGTTTTTCCTCAGTGAGGATGACACCCGCTTTAGTTTAAAAATTAAATCCAAACATTCAATGTCTCTGGAAAACTTGTAGGCAATGCTATTCGAACAATAGAGACAATGACAAACGAAACAAACCATTTTTTATGAAAACAATAAAACGCAAAAAAAAAAAAAAAAAAAAAAAGAAAAAAAGAAATGAAATTAAGGCATGTGAGTATTGGTTGATAAAAGCAATTGTGATATGTTTGCATTGGTTAAGAAAAGAATTTAATACATGGCTGCATTGGTTAAGAAATGACAATCATACATTACTGCAATTGTTAGAATGCGAGTATAAGGTATAAATTGCATTGGTTGAGAAATGCATTGAGGTATGCCTGTATTGGTTGAGAAATTTCCGTAATGAATTTATTTTCCGAAGGATCACTTTTTTCCTGAGGTTTTTATGTATAATGCTATAATAGCTATTTGATCTACTTGCTAAGCTATTCTCTCATGATAATTTTATCAAATTTTTATCGATTGTGCACAGGCTTCTTGTACACAGACAATCGTAGACAGACTTTTTGTTGGTGCGATAGACATTGGTACGACTTTCTCAGGATGGGCCTTTTCATTTAAAAATGATTATGATTCAGATCCGACAAAATCAAATACGAAATTATGGTACACAGGGCAAGGAACATTAAGGACGTTAAAAACACCGACTTGCGCACTGGTAAATCCAGATGGGAAAACATTGAAATCGTTCGGGTACGATGCTGAAAACGAATATAGAGAATTACTTGATAACGGAGAAGACGAAAATTATTATTTCTTTAAACGGTTTAAAATGAAACTCTATTCTAAGATTGGCAAAGTAAGTCTTGGTTTATCTTAATTTTCTAAATATTGAAATTAGAGAGTGAAATGAGAGAGAGAGAGAGAGAGAGAGAGAGAGAGAGAGAGAGAGAGAGAGAGAGAGAGAGAGAGAGAGAGAGAGAGAGAGAGAGAGAGAGAGAGACAGAGAGAGAGAGAGAGAGAGAGAGAGAGAGAGAGAGAGAGAGAGAGAGAGAGAGAGAGATGTCCTGTGTTCCTAAATGCCTGGGGGATTTGAATTAAAATTTCATATAACTAGAGTCATCATGTGCTCAGAGCTATATAATGGAAGATTTTGGATGAAATAGTCCCCACTTTAAAGATGAAGTAAATATCAAGGACATAACTATTCTATGCACAACTTCTTCAATAGGAATGTGTCAACAAATCATTCACTAAACGATCACCATCAAGTGCCGGTAGGCATATTGTCGGGGTTTTGTGATTTAATCGCAACCAACAGTAAATCTAATTGGAGAATGATGAAGTCAATGGAACTATTTTTAAACAAATATCAATTGTAAGTTGACAGTCGCACTTGATCCTAACTACATCTTACTAGTTTTAATTTTTATTTGTTTTGTATTTGTTAACGTAACGACAACAGTATTAAGAAAATCAAAGGATAAATGAGCGTATTCTCGACCTGCTTTCCGCTGATTTCCTTGCTTGTTTGTTTCCTAACAAAAATAATATAGTTTGTAGGTTAGATTATATGTTTTCATAAACTAGATTAGTGTTCTGTCAGATTTATTTAAGGTATTACTGTATGAAAAGACAATTGTGTTCTTCATCAAAACGATATTTGAATCAATAATATTTCTGCCGATTATCAAACAAGCTTTGATAACCTGTTAATATATTTTTCTAGGACTTAAACAGAGACATGACAATCGAAGACGAATCTGGCAGGCAACTTTTAGCAGCTAATTTATTTGGAATGTCAGTCAAATTCTTGGTAAATGACATGCTGACAAGCGCTAACAAGGGAATAGATGGCATCATCAGACCCTCTGAAATTAACTTGGTTCTAACAGTTCCTGCAATATGGTCCGATGCTGCTAAGCAATTCATGCGCGAAGTTGCTAAAGAGGTAAACAATATAATTTTAATCTTAAATTATTAATTTTCATAGTTTTGTGCTTTCGCGAATTATATCAATTTGTCAGAACTGACTGTTTAAATCGACAATAAAGTGGGGGAAAAATTATCTCCTAATATTTCCATCATTGAAAAATAAGATCCTATCAAATAAAAATCCATATTTAAATAAAATGGCATCTCTTAAGATATCTGCATAATTTTCTATCATCTTACGATAGTAAACGCTTTGTTTTCGTCACAAATTAGCATTCAGTTCCTTTTAACTTCATTGTAGTCATTGAAGCAAATAATAAATCGAACAATAATTGTTTATCATTTTCTTAGGCTGGTATATGTAAAGAGCAACTAACAATTGCACTGGAGCCCGAAGCGGCTTCGTTGTATTGTAGACATTTGCATATTTATAAACCTGGTGAGCTGCTTGGCAATGTATCCATGAACAATTTACCAATTGGCACTAAATACATTGTCGTTGATGCAGGAGGTATTGTTCTTTTAAATGACATTGAATATTTTCATTTTACATATTACAGCTACATGGACATGACGTTTACAAAATGATTTCTCATTATTAATATACCAGATAACTGATACTGCTGGTTTTGGCCATACGTTATGCAATTTTTATCATAAACTTAAATGGATGGACATAAAAGATTCAAAAAATATTTGCGGTACTAATTTTAAAACTTTCCATAACTTAATGTTTTAGACATCGAAGTAACAAAAGGAATTTAAAAAAAAAAGAAAGATATGCATTAAATATCTAAAGTATAGAGCCCTTCGTTTCTTATTTAAAAATCTAGAGTCAAGTAAATGTATTTTTGCATTGATTAAAGGTGAAGTGAAACTGATATTAACAAGGTAACTTAAATGAGACAATCTTCCCCTAAACTGAGTAAAATATTGGTAATGAACATTTTAAACTTACATGTGAACATTAAAATTGTAGTGATTAGAGCTTTATCACATTAAAATCAATGGTATCATATGTGAAAACATATGTTTAATTTCTAGGTGGAACAATAGACGTTACAGTGCACGAGACGGGAAGTGAGCATACGTTGAGGGAATTGAGACCTGCAAGTGGTGGCGATTGGGGAAGCATAATGATTGACAAGGAATTTGAAAATTTGCTTAAACGTATAGTAGGACAAACTGTTTTTGAGAAATTCAAACTTGAAGACAAGGAGGATTGGCTTGACATGCAACGAGAATTTGAGTCACTAAAACAACAGACGGTTGTAAACAGTGAAATAAAAAGAGGAATGAAAATACCTTCGTTTTTAATTGATCTTTACAATCAAAACTCACAACTTGACCTTTGTGCTTCATTAGCATGGTCTCAGTATGCAGGTCTGATTGCACTTAAAAGGGATAAGATGATGATTTCTAACAAGGTCTTAAAACAACTATTTGACCCGTCAGTGACAAAGACGGTTGGCCATCTGAAGTCAGTGCTGTCTGACGGTTCACTGAAAGATGTGAGACTTTTGCTTATGGTTGGTGGTTATTCTGAATCGCCCGTATTACAACACGCAGTAAAAGAAGCATTGCCTGGTATTAAAGTCGTGACACCTGTTGACGCTTCATCAGTAGTATTAAGAGGTGCTCTAATATATGGACACACTCCTACTTCAATAAGTGAAAGGATACTCAAGTATACCTATGGTACTAATTACGCACCAATTTTTATAGAGGGAGTTCATCCAGAGAGCAAACGATTTAAAGCAAAAGACGGTAGTATTAGATGTAATGATGTCTTCAGCAAACTTGTAACAACTGGGCAAATCGTGAAAACGGGCGAAACACAAATAACAAGGACATATTATACTCTTTCAAGTGATCAGAAGGCTATGTTGTGTACAATATATGCTTCAGAGAGAGAAGATCCTGTTTACATTGATGATGACGGATGCTTTGAGATAGGACTACTGAGGATAGAGTTCGATGAGGAAAATAATACGAGTCAAAGAGAGGTTTCACTATCTATGTTATTTGGTGGGACGGAAATCATCGTTGAAGTGGAGGACAAATATACTGGTAAAAAGAAAATAACCTCTGTTGATTTTCTTGGGTAATTTAGTAAAACATGTTTGCAAGTTTCATCATGTGATATATATTTTTTGGAACATATAAAGTGAATTTCAGTGATATGCGATCGTAACTTTTACTTGTCCTGAAGTAATATCATCAAAGGAAAACAGCGTTGTTTTAGAATTTACTTTACATCCAGAAAGCAAACAAAAAAAATCGAACAAATAACAAAAAAAAAAAAATAAATAAATAAAATAAAATAAAAAAAAAACCACACACACAAACAAAAACCCAAACAAACAAACAACAACAAAAGACAACGGTGTTAAACGTTACAGCAAGGTGGTTTAGATATAATAAAAAATGGCAATTAAGTGCTGTTATATTTGTTTGGTATTTCGGGATAATTTATTCTAGCACATTAAGTGTAAAAGATTGAATTGCCACCCACTTAGGAGGTTTGAGAGATGTCGCTGCTCTTCCATTATTACTCATGAACAGATTTGATCACACTGAGTCTGCAGTTTTCAATTTCTATTCTTTCTCCGTAATACTGTCTAGAGTATATATCTGTATATCGGCATTTATGATGCCCCATAAATAAGACAAATATACAGGACATCATTTTAAGATAAATATGTTTAAATTGTTATACATAGGTATCGTACCCTTACAGCAGATTCTGTCAACTGACAATTGTGAAATATTAATATAGTTTTATAATAATTTTTGTGCTATACCTACGGGGTGTATTTTCATCTTGTGGTATAAAAATAATCATATTTAATTCATGGCTACCGACACTCATGAAATATTTATTTTCATAGCTTTAGATGACAAAATCCTATACATATAGACAAAACTTGAATATCTTATTTATATTTTATTAGTCTCTTGCTTATTTCTGATATTGAAACTAAATGTCTCAGAAATTATACACGTATTATTGAAATTTCATATTTAATCTCAATAAAAATGGAAGTAGATATAAGACTTTAATGTTAACTCAATGATCCTTCAATAATAGTATAATTTCTTTATATTACCCCCTCCCCTTGTTTCTGTTTATAATTTGAAAATTCGAATACTATTCAATATGTAACACTGCACATGTCAGTAAATTAAATACAACATAAGCTACAACAGATTCTTTGAGATGGGAATTTTTTCTTCAAACAATAAAAAATCCAAACCTGCAACTACTGTGTACTCAAACGCGTCAAAAGGGTTACGTTTAATTATCAATGGGGGGCGTCTGTGGCCGAGTGGGTAAGGTCGTTGACTTCAAACCACTTGCCCCTCACCGCTGAGGGTTCGAATCCCGACAGGGACTTTGGATTCTTTCATGTGAGGAAGCTATCCAGCTAGCTTACGGAACGTCGGTGGTTCCACTCAGGTGCCCGTTCGTGCCTGAAATAATGCACGGAAGAGCACCTGAGGTCTTCCTCCACCAGTAAAGCTGGAACGTCGCGATATGACCTATACTGTGTCGATGTGACGTAAAACCAAGCAAAAAAATTATAAATGGGGCCATTTAACATACTTAGACCTTTGTTTATCACAATTATAGTATCAAGCAATCAACTGACATACAGCTGTCTTAATGAGTATGACCTCGGTGATATTTCTGACCGTATACAGTAATCAATAAAACTGCTGTACTTAAAATAAGGTTTTCAATTTCTTTTTGAAATATCAAACTTTGCTTAAACCTTAAAAAACTACAACAGGATAATTTTAAATTAAGAAATACTTCTACTTTTTCATTCTTAAAACCATTTTAGATTTCAATAATTCTTAGTTGTATGTGAAATTAGAGACACGCAGTGTTGCTGTTGTAAAAACATTTCCGTTTATTTAATCAGAGATGTTAAATTTATGATCCTCGAAGCTTATTCAACATGACATTCTTGTTGTGCTTGCCTTTATTTAAAATTCCATTCAGCGGTGATCCAAGAGATACTCTTCCAAAATCATACTGACTGTAGGAATTATTAACATTCTCAAATTTGTTTTTAATTTGTTCAACTTTTGGCGCTTTAAGCTCTCGCGTCACGTTAACGTCGCCGCCTTTTTAAAGACGTCACGGGCGGTAGTTTCGGAAGTTTCATATCAAGATTAAAAACGAGTTTATTTTTTGAAGACATTAACGGTAGCGGTATTTGAAGTAAAATATTACTATTACAGTAAATATTCAATATTAAAAGAAATTAATTAAATTAAAAGGACACCATTGCTACAATTATATGAACTTTGTAGATAAGTAATAAATAAAATTACAAGATTGCAGCGCATTTCTTACTTGGTTTTCTGAATCCTGAACACTGACTTCCATGTAATATACATGTTAAAGAGGGGACACTTACTTCGATAGAAAGGCAGCTATTAACCCACTATTACGAAAGTATATGCGTTACATGCTCAATCGTGATAATGACAACCTAGCAACAAAACTGAAAGCTTTTTTTGGTTCGTCAGTATTAAAAAGTACAAAAACGCATATAATACTTTTTTTCAGAATACCTGAGACATTTGCGGACTGCTAGTGTCATGTTATGATAAAAGAAAGCAGATAACGGTAAATGCAAAATTTGATTAGGAGGAACCAGCGTTCCCTTTGAGCTTCATTCGGCAAAACTGTACCTGATAATTTTTATTCGAATTATAATGTTTGCTTCAGTACATGTATAACATTAAGCCAAAGTGCAAATGTCTCAAGTATGCAAAAACAAACACTATAGATAAGCCTTGCGGTCTATTATATTATTGATTGTATGTTAAACTCAAAAGGAAGAGTAGCCAGGTCAGTCTTAAAGATTGAATTACAAAGCATTGACTTTCGTGAGGGTATTTGTCATAATGGTTCAATTATAATGTCCCAGCAGCCGTATATTTATTCATTTTTTTAATATGATTAACATTTAATTTGTGAAATAAACCAGTGGTCATTTCCCTAATAACATCAAACAATTAGGTGTTATTTCTGTGCAATTTCAGCATTGCATGGCATTTCTGTGTTGCATATGGTAATAACTATGTAATGTTTAATCTGACGTGCACGAGTTTCTCGATTTACTGACAACAATAGAACAAAACACAGGTCCGTTTATAATTAAAATATGTTAAGCGATTGATAATTGATTTATAAGACATTATTAACAAAATTTCCGGTAAGTAAATTATCTTATAAGATACGAAATAAAACATGCGACCTTGTCACATAATAACAAGCGCTAGATTTGGTTTCATATCTGTCAATGATATATGTTTCCAAAATTGAATTCAGATTGTTCTGTAACTTTTTTTTTTTATTTCCAATGTCTGTATTAGCTGTTTTAAAATAGCCTAAGCCTTATAGCATGTAAGAAAGGTTTTAACAAGAAATGAACGATTTGTTTTATATACTTAATATCTGCAATACCCAACTGGTATAACATGTAAAGAATATTGACCGAGTAAAAAGTGTGAGGAATTTCATGAGGCACAGAGAGCGTGTAGCGTTTATAGAAAACAGAAATGTCGATTTACGAGACCGATACCAAACTTGTAAAAAGTAAATAAAGTAAGTTATATATACAGGCACTATAGGCAAGTTTTGGATTATATCATTATAATATGACTTCAAATAATCCAAAGATAGGGACACTTAACCGGAGATAACCACTCGAATTGATCCCGCGGGTAGATTTTTACCAGGGATTTCCAGATGTTTTTGCTATGAACTATGGGTAGTAAAAAGTATATCGAATGGACATCAATGAGTTTTTCAACAGACATATGTGTGTTACATGTCTTCGATATGAATGTTTGGTACATTTTTATGTACGGTAAAGTTTCTAGAGCATTTAACATGTAATGGATTATGTGATTTAAAATGTCGTTAAAAGTATGTTATGATAATTCAAGCGTCCACTTTGTCATATTGTAAATCTTATAAATGCCAAAAGAACGGCTTGTATCATAGTTTGGGGACTTTTCTGTTGAAAATGTGTCAGAGTTCAATCGTATACATATACATTCACAGAGAGTTAATTGGAGTGCAGGTATTAGTTACCCGCACTCCAGAGCATGCCCATTGATTGGCTAATTTTTTGCTTGGCTTTACTTATTGTGATGGAAGAGAAAGGGAAAGCGAGAGAAATATCATGTTCAGATGCTCGTACATTGGTTATTTTTCTGAGGTTTCATATTGTGACAACAGGGAACGTGTTTTTATGTTTGACTACGATGCAAAAGAGAAAGAACATCAAACCACTCGGCAATCTGATTTATACTCGGGGCTACACCCCCTCGTACAAATCAGATAGCCTCGTGTTTCGATGCTCTTTCTATTACTTATATTATATCTTTGAAATGACGCGATTTAATAAATCTGAAATGTGCCTAAGCTTTTGTAGACTTTCTATTATTTTTATTGTAAAATTTAATATAGGACGTTGGAATTGCTAAAGTACATTCAATTTACATTGTCTTGTTAAAAATGTGTTTCCAAATTTTTTATGACAGAAATATTATGAAAGTCATTTATATTCTTTTCACATTTAAACAAGAGCAAGTAGGATTTACCCTATGCACGTGCAAAAGAAAGACCGAAAAAAAATCATGCCGTATGCTATATAGGAGGTGTGTAAAACGTGCAAAATATTTTTAAACATGCTATATTTCAGACTGCTTGCTTTAGCTTAATTTATAACATGAACATGCTTATAAAACTTCCTGTAATGTACCTTCGGTGATTTATATCTAATCAATATCAATGGTATAGTTTTTGATTATTTCAATTAACATGTTTGAGATAACTTCATTTTTAAAACTTTATCTATGTTTAAACATTTGATTATACATTTTGTTATCTAAACATAGAACAGTTATTTGAAACATAGATTTGTACTGTATAACGCAATATTAAATTCTTTAGATACACAAACAAAGGCAATTCAAATCTATTATACCATTATTTATTTGGATATCCATTTCTTTGAAGGAGTAAGATATGGCCAAATATACTCGCAAGTATGTCTTTGATTGTAGATTAACATTTTCG